TATAAATAAATAAATTTAAATATATTAAACTCAATAAATTACGAAATATTACATGACTGAAAGTTTTAAATAAATATAATAACCGAATTGACGCCATAAATTTTCGTGAACTACGTTAATCTACCCGTAAACTTTCGAAATTCTTGTATTATTGCAAATTTTACAGAATATTACACCATAATGTTACGAAATACTATGCCGTAAACTTTCGAAATTCTTGTATTTTCGTAAGTTCTACATAATATTACACTGTAATGTTACGAAGTACTACACCGTAAACTTTCGAAATTCTTGTATTTTCATAAGTTTTACATAATATTACACCGTAATGTTATGAAGTACTACGCCGTAAACTTTCGCATAGTTTACATTCTATAATATTACGTAGTACTACGTTGTAATGTTACAGAATATTACAAATATACAATTTACGTAATCTTACGGCGGCCTCGTAAGTTTTCGTAATATTACAGAATGTAAGTTTACGTAATATTACGCCCTATTAAATTTACTGATGTATCTTATTACTTCTCGCAATTATATGGCTCGTGATTAGGAGAAGAATATGAGGTTCATGGAAAAAAAGTAATACTGAGTATTCTTCTAACTGAAATTATTTTTTATTATTTCTGGACATTTTTGAGGCCGGGCTGTATGATTGGAAGCCAAAAGTTTGGAGTGATCATCCTAGGCCAGAAGTTCAAAAATAGGAATTAAAGTTAGCTGGTATTATTGCACGAGAAAAAATATGTAAATAATATTATGGGAAGCGTCTTATGACTAAATACTTAGCTGAAATTGCCACACCTCTGCTAGAATACTTAATAATATAATCCATTTAAGTGTTTTTCTTTAGCACTTCTGATTCGGTTATACCCTCAAGATAGAAATACCATAAATTACTAATGTCATTTAGCGCCTCAATTTCTGATATGTAAGGTAAGGCAGGTAGGTTAGCAATTATCTCATTTTTTCGCATGGATGAAACTAGGCTGATTTTTTCTGGAATTGATACATTGCAACTTAAATGATTTTCAAGAAATTGGAAATGTGACGCAATAAAGTAATCTGCAAATGAATATCATGTGAATTGATCTGCAAGAATCAATGACACAATAGTCAGCAAAAGGTGATCTGCAAAATTAATCAAATCGGTTAATGAAGAAATAAAGTAATGGATCATTAGCCCATGATGACACGCATAACCTTCTTAAACTAGAAACTCCAAATAGGAACTTCAAGGAAAAACTAGTCAAAAGGCTAAGTATAAGGATGTAGCAATAGTTTAAGAACAATATAATTATATTCTCTACATCTCTTTA